TTCAATGGCAAAAATGGACCATTAATATTGCATAAATATTAATAAGTAACATCAAATTGTCTCAAAATACAAAATTAAAAAGAAAAAATATTATTGAACAAAAATAAATTGCATTGGTTTTACTGGGATGGAGAAAGTTTCATTTTTAGGTGTCCGGTCACTTCTGACCGGAAAGATAACAAGTGTGACTCCGAAACGAAGAGCACCTGAGGGATATGACAGTATGGTGTGGTGTTCCTCATGGGCTAGTCGTTGGCCCAGTTAAATTTCACATAATATTTTTGTTACAGATAACGTTGGGATTATTTTTTTTTTTTTAAATATTGGAACGGAATGATTTGCACATTCTTTTGCCAATGTGGACAACAAATTCAGTGTTGTCAGAATTGATGTGATTTTTAGTTGATCAAAAACACTGATTACTGTTATTAAATTATTTAACAGCTGCTACTTAATTAATCAGATGCACTTACTGAACCACAAGTTATTACATTCATCTTGTCCAATCCAAAATGAACCAAAAATGTGAAATCTGTGAAGAATGGTGTTGGCAGAAAATGCAATGAGATTATGCAATGAGATGCACGGTGTGATATATTTCCTGCAGTTGTGTACTTACAATATCCCAAAAGTTCCCAAAGATGTTTAATTTCAGAGAAATTCCGATTTTAAATAATGGCTCGTCCCTGGTCATGTCGCCTGTCAATGACGTAATATCCGCGTTATCCCTGGTTTCTGCTCGTACTGCCATAGTAACCATGGCGACAGATGTGGACAACTCCGTTACGTCTAGCGGCACGCTCACGCTGTTGTTGTTTCCTTCAAACATTATGGACCATGGCAAGCAGACTTTGGGACAAAAGGAGAACTAAAACGAGGATCAATATCAGCGTGGCGTTTTCGAGATGCCTAGAGCTCCACGTCCGTGACAAACTTCGACTTGACAGAGACGCAGCTCTTGCATGTACTTTATTAGACAGGTGAGCAAATGTACATAAAACCAGTGTTTCCTTTTGGATTTTTTCCAGCCGTGGTGGCAGGCCCATTTCGCTAGGGGAGGGGGCGTGGCCCATGAGTGATATTCCCACTGGCCACGCCCCCTTATTCCAGGTGTTTAAACTTCCCCTAAGCATTATAACATGAAAGGCGCCAATAAGAGCGGCAAAGCGATTATGCGCATCCCGTGCGCAGAATGATGCACTTGAAGCAACGCGAAGTCACAGCGTGCAGCGCTTCGCATTGAAAAGTTCAAAGCGAAGAGATTATATCTATCTATGCTTAATGTATTATATCTATGCAACAGTTTATTGAGCCTTTTCTTTTAACAGTTTTAAATTTCAGTTAACTTACAGTGCGCATGAAGAACAATTCATAGTGCTCTCTACTCTAGTGCTGTAGTAACAGACACCCGGGAGAAAGGAATATGATTTAGAAAGCGCTATAAACTCTAGCAAGATAAGGTAATTTTATGCAAACTATAGATCTTTATCTACAAATAAAGTATAATAATGGGAACATTGATCTTAAAGAGAGTGTCGTCGTGTTACTGTCGTACCCGAACGTGACGTGCTGTTTGAATGCTGAATGGAGAATGACTGAGGAGAGATGAGTTTCCATTAACTTTAACTTAACGACTTAAATATACATTTTTACCTCACATTATGCTATTGAATGACTTTAGAAGTCTTGGAATATAGTGCGAAAACTTTATGGTGCTTTACAATGTTTTGTATGCCTTTAGTGGGGCTTAACAATAACACATACAATATCGGACCGAGAAGCTGCAGCCGTGGCGGGATGATTTTAGGTGTGGCGGCCCGCCACGGCAGAATGAATGTAGCGGAAACACTGTAAAACTAATCAATATTATATTGCTCAACATGATGAAATGTTAGAATATGATCAGTAAATGTTATTTTAATCTTGATCTAGCTTACTGCTAGTCTCATACAGCCAACAAACTAACACATAGAATAACATAATAACTTTCAACACACTCAAATGCAGTTTAGTGTGATATTTTAGAGCAAGTGAAACAGCGCTGCGTTACCTCACAAGTTTAATTCGTCAAATAAACTGACCTGTATGAGTAGTAATCCAGCACTTGCGTGTAGTTCGGTAGAACGAAATGTCCTCATTCCTTTATATCCGCGGGACTCGCGTGTGGCGCTGATATCTGTCTCTCATTAGCAATCGTGTCCTGCTTCATACCACAGTCATAAAAACATCAATATATTCACTCATCCATAAACATTATTAGATCAATCGGCATGGTGACAAGTTCCATAATTCCGCTTATGCGTCATCAACCTACACCTTTGTAAGTAAGAGGTTAGCGACCCCTGGCGGCGAAAAAAATTACATATTGTAGCTTTTGTGGTATCTTATCGTGCATGCAAATTTGGTTGAAAACATACTTGCAACAAATTAATAGCCTAGTTAACAATTACTTGTTTATAAATACAATAAAATGTGATCAATTCTAGTATGGATGGTCATGAGTACCGTAGTACTCATGACCACTTTCTAATTCATGTTAGTGCAAGATGATGTGTTCTCCTCTTTTCATCAGTCTTTTTAGTTTATGTGGATGTTTTATATCATGTTTGACTTTCTCTATAACATTTAAAAATTGTAAATAGAATTCAAATGGGTCGCGCATTTTATCATCTGCGTCACAACAGCTCACTCAAATCTGCGCACCATGAATGCACAATTAAAATCCAGGGCTTCTGGATCGATTTTGAGATTTTCAGTATGCATCGCAATTCTCTCTCCAATCCATTCTGAGCTTAGTTTTTAACAGCAGAAACGCTGTGTGCTTTAGAAACAGCCGTACTCTGCTCGTTTCCAATTCCTTACACACACTGCTTGAAACTTCCATAAAATGACTTTCATAAAGTTTGAAAAGGTTGAAGTAAATTGCAAGGCTATTTGCAGTGGGCTGTTTACACATTAATTTCGCATCACAAAACCATTATGCAAGTGCATTTAACCACTTACGTGGATTTAACTCACGCACAGCCGAATGCACATGCGCTCTTCTTCGTGAGCATTTGAGCGTGTGGTTAAAAACTAGCCTACAGTGCCATCTGCTGTTGAAAACGAAGCTCAGAATCTATTGGAGAGAGAATCGCGATGCATATCGATTTATCCTCCCAGCCCTAGCTTCAGTCATATTGCACAAATTGTTCCGTTCAGTTCGGATAGGAACTTAGCACGTATAACATCTTTAAACTCGCAATGTACTATACAATAGCCTAATTCTATATGCTTCCATTAACCATAACCATTACCTAACCCCTTTCCCCCTGCAAATTACACCCCTGGATAGACATACTGTACACAATCGTTCTGCAATAAGACGATGTGTCGTCTAAGCCTCAGTTGACCTTTTTCAGCTATCATAGTTAGAATCTTGTTATGCAGAACATTTGTGTGATACTAACATTTCCTCTCCTACACACCTTGGTATTTTTAGTTTTGTGAGCAGTTTGTGAACCGTTAGTACAGATATTGACTGTTTTTACACTGAAACGTTGCTGTGGCTGTGTAGAAGTTTCACTTCCCATGAGCTTGTAGGTGAAGGATATGTGCGTTGTGGCCTCTGGTGGACTTTATAATCTCATGAAGTGTTTACATTGATCTGTCTTGTCTTGTCTTTGCCTCCGGTTCAAACCACTTAAACCATTAAGGTCGAGCACCGTTGCAGTGTGTGTATATGCATGTATTTGCATCTGTGTGGGCGACCTTTATGAGGGTGTCTTTGTCAGATTCCAGAGTTGCAGACTAAATTGTTCCTGACTGTCTTCAGTAAGTTACATGGCATGAACCTACACAGATAGTAATAGCCAAGAGTTTGTGATTCACTATTGTAAAAACATGAAAACTTTGTGACGTGAAAAATTAAGAACTATGATCTTCCCATAATTTCTCATTCTAGAGAACATTTTGTTGTACAAAAACTGTGCATTCCCTGAGCAGTTAGTTTTCGCACATATTGCAAAACTTTTTTCTTGTGGGGTTTAAGGATGGATATACATTTTCTCTGAAATGTCTCTTAACCTCTGAAATTTGAAGACCGATATGTACCGAAAGACACTCTAAAACACTGCATAGATTTCATGATTTGGTAACACTTTACAATAAGGTTCCATTAGTAAACTTAATTAGTTAACATGAGCTGACAATCAAAATACTTCTGAAGCATTTATTAATTGAATATGCTATTAATTATTAATACACTATTAAAATCAAAAGTTGTATCGTTAATGTTATTTAATGGACCTGCTAACATGAACCAATGAACAGCTGTATGTATTAACTAATGTTAACACTGATTATTAAATGCTGTAACAAATGTATTATTCATGTTAATGCATTTACTAACATTAACGGGAAGTCATTTGTAAAGTGTTACTCGAGATTTTCAAGATGCTGAAATCAGATTTGGTAGCATCATTCTGCAGACATTTTTACTCTTGTTTAATAGGATCAGAGTGAAAACTTGATATTAACTACGATGTTTTCACTGCCTTAATGTCATTTAGCTTAGAGTAAAAGATAACTCTGATTGAGTTCTCTAAGAAAGAGTCCATGTCAGGACCTGTCTTATTTTTATTCTTGATATTCTTTCTTTGTTTCTTTTAATGGATTCTCTTTTTTTCTCCTGGCTGCTGCAGGTTCTGTACCAATCACTTTATCTAAGACTCAGTCAGTAGCCCCAGCCAGCATCTTTTATTGATGCCACGTCTGACTTTGAATAATTTACCTCACTGCATCTGTAGATGTGTGCTAAAACTTTCATAGCCCCCTGTGCAATTCTACAACTTTGGAGAAAAGCGTACACTCGCCGTGAATGTATTCGGTCCACGTTTGTTTTTAGATACTGCTCAAAACAAACTTCTTACATCAAGTCAGTGTGTATCATTTTATAGTCAGAATTTCAGAACAGAACAGAATTTCGGTTTTAATGACTTCAACCCTCTCTCTCTCTACAGAATCTTCCAGAAGGAACATCCAACGTCGGCTCCCTAAAACTAACATATATATCCAAGGTTTGTCATTTCTGACCAATGCTGACTACATTATATTCACAGGACATAAATGATACTTTAAATTTTGCAGAAAAGGTGTGCCGTGACTTTTCTACGTGTTCAGATTCACCATTTTCTCCTGGGGTTACAGAGATAAAATGAGTCATAATGGCTGGCCATGTAATCCGATCTATAAACGACTGCCGTGAAGAGTTTCACTCTTATGTATAATAAAACATCTTTTTCTAGACCGTTATAGGAGTCTTCATCTGAATGTATGTTACAGTTTGTTAAATTGCTAACAAGCATCGGTCAATACTTAAGCTACATTTTCACAACTCTTCATACAGTCTGCATTACCAAGATAAAAAACTTTTGCAGTGTGCCAGTGAGCATGAGCACAGTTTCTTTTCAGGATATATTGCGATTATAACTCTTTTTAACATCAAGCACATCCACTCTTTATATTCTCATTCATACATTTCATCGTCTAAAGTGTCAATAGTGCTATATATTTAGGCTACATACCGCGATATACACCATATATGAAACTCTCTAACGATAGACATTTTATACCGTGGTAACGATATACAGGTCCTTCTAAAAAAATTAGCATATTGTGATAAAGTTCATTATCTTCCATAATGTAATGATAAAACTTAAACTTTCATATTTTTTAGATTCATTGCACACCAACTGAAATATTTCAGGTCTTTTATTGTTTTAATACTGATGATTTTGGCATACAGCTCATGAAAACCCAAAATTCCTGTCTCAAAAAATTAGCATATTTCATCCGACCAATAAAAGAAGTGTTTTTAATACAAAAAAAAAGTCAACCTTCAAATAATTATGTTCGGTTATGCACTCAATAGTCAATACTTGGTCGGGAATCCTTTTACAGAAATGACTGCTTCAATGCGGCGTGGCATGGAGGCAATCAGCCTGTGGCACTGCTGAGGTGTTATGGAGGCCCAGGATGCTTCGATAGCGGCCTTAAGCTCACCCAGAGTGTTGGGTCTTGCGTCTCTCAACTTTCTCTTCACAATATCCCACAGATTCTCTATGGGGTTCAGGTCAGGAGAGTTGGCAGGACAATTGAGCACAGTAATACCATGGTCAGTAAACCATTTACCAGTGGTTTTGGCACTGTGAGCAGGTGCCAGGTCGTGCTGAAAAATGAAATCTTCATCTCCATAAAGCTTTTCAGCAGATGGAAGCATGAAGTGCTCCAAAATCTCCTGATAGCTAGCTGCATTGACCTTGCCCTTGATAAAACACAGTGCACCAACACCAGCAGCTGACATGGCACCCCAGACCATCACTGACTGTGGGTACTTGACACTGGACTTCAGACATTTTGGCATTTCCTTCTCCCCAGTCTTCCTCCAGACTCTGGCACCTTGATTTCCGAATGACATGCAAAACTGAGCAACAGTCCAGTGCTGCTTCTCTGTAGCCCAGGTCAGGCGCTTCTGCCGCTTTTCCTGGTTCAAAAGTGGCTTGACCTGGGGAATGCGGCACCTGTAGCCCATTTCCTGCACACGCCTGTGCACGGTGGCTCTGGATGTTTCTACTCCAGACTCAGTCCACTGCTTCCGCAGGTCCCCCAAGCTCTGGAATCGGTCCTTCTCCACAATCTTCCTCAGGGTCCGGTCACCTCTTCTCGTTGTGCAGCGTTTTTTGCCACACTTTTTCCTTCCCACAGACTTCCCACTGAGGTGCCTTGATACAGCACTCTGGGAACAGCCTATTTGTTCAGAAATTTCTTTCTGTCTTACCCTCTTGCTTGAGGGTGTCAATGATGGCCTTCTGAACAGCAGTCAGGTCGGCAGTCTTACCCATGATTGCGGTTTTGAGTAATGAAACAGGCTGGGAGTTTTTAAAAGCCTCGGGAATCTTTTGCAGGTGTTTAGAGTTAATTAGTTGATTCAGATGATTAGGTTAATAGCTCGTTTAGAGACCCTTTTCATGATATGCTAATTTTTTGAGACAGGAATTTTGGGTTTTCATGAGCTGTATGCCAAAATCATCAGTATTAAAACAATAAAAGACCTGAAATATTTCAGTTGGTGTGCAATGAATCTAAAATATATGAAAGTTTAATTTTTATCATTACATTATGGAAAATAATGAACTTTATCACAAAATGCTAATTTTTTGAGAAGGACCTGTATATTGTCATACCGCCTAACCATACTACTAAGATAAGCAATGTGAAGTCTTGATTTTGTAATTCGTAAAAAGCAATAAACTGTCATAAACAGCTCCTATCTGTATGATGTGCCATTTTCCCACACCCAAAAATGTTTTTATCTATTCTATTATTCAATACTAATAATCATTATTGTAAAGATGAATTGTCATGTTGATCAAATTTTATTGGTTAAATTGAAGTATTTGACAATACTTAACACAACACAGATACATGTACTAAGGTTTTTATAAAAATTGCCCATAAAAAGGTCAAATTAATAAATAAATAAATTCCAGGCAAATATTTCACCTTAATGAAAAACTGAATTTCCGACCCTGATGTACACGTACAAACAGATTTCTTATTTTGGGGCATAATGTTTTTATAGTGGAGAATGATTTAGTGCACCCTTAAATGTGTGTGTGTGTGCATGTGTGTACAGTGTTATCAATCTGCTCTTATTTCTTCATTAAAGGTTAGCGATGCCACCAAATTGCGTCCAAAGGCGGAGTTCTGCTTCGGTAAGCAAGCGATTCTCTGTCCATGTTTCTCAGAGGATGCAGTGCGCAGAAGGAAGGGTGACCAAAGGGCATGTTAGACCATGACCCCTGACCCCAGCTATTGTTTCTGAGATCAGAGCCAAGAGACAATCACACACTTGAGGTTTTGGGACTTTACCCGGTGGAGTTAGACTAGAGGCCACTGTCAAGAGGGTTTGAGACATCATATGTGTGAGCAGCATAATACAGATACTAAACTTAGTAACATATTGAGTGTCCTAGTGTGAAGTGTTTAATATTAGGAGTCATTCACAGCCATTCCATTGTGCTGGTTCCCATTGTTTTTCAATGTATTGTATTTTATTCGTTGCCCAGCACTAAAAATGAACTAAAATAAAACAAAACTCAATTTAAGTGTAAGTTTATTTTATTTCATTTCAAGTAACAAAATAGTTTTATTGGTTTAGTTTTAGTTAGTAAAACTAGTAACCCTGGTGTGCAAGTTTGTTAAACAGCATTCACATCATCCGAAATGAACCAAATTTTGCAGTCAAACAAAAAAGCACTCTAAAAGTGCTAGTGTGACAGCACCAATTATTCAGGCCTAGAACTGCACACTAAAAAGGGGAAGCTCCATTATGACACAATAATGTAATTATATCAACACCTCCGGATTGTTTAAATATAAATCTGCGTGTCTTCCCACAGTCATCAACGCTGGAATGAGGAAGTTTTACTTGCAGGCGAATGACAAGCAGGATTTAGTGGAGTGGGTCAGCGCACTCAACAACGCCACCAAAATCACAGTGAGTCCCTGACCTTGGATCAGATTCATCTTACTAACCTGGGGTGCGTTTCCCATACAATGACGTAACTCACTGCTTAACCACCATAGTATGATCCATCACTGTAGAAACTAACTAGAAAACATCTAGTCAACTACTGTCTCTTAAAAGTAACTAAATGTAGTCAGATGATGTTAATATTGATATTTGAATTAGGTTACTAATCACATTTTTAGCAATTATACTGGAGTACAAGATCCAGTGATCCATGGATTTTGACATTCGTGACAATCGTGTTTCCTGACATTTATTTGTGCCGGATTTCGATGCCGGGGAAATACATAAAGCAAATTTGTCTGTGAACACAGACTACTTTATATAAATACAATATAGGTAGGTCTGAATCCATGTGATCACTTATTTCAATGTTATATTTATCATCATTTCGTCCAGCCTTAACTTGCATAGTTTTTTGTCAGTGTTTATTTAAAAACGTCCGATTATGCAGAATATACGATGGTAAATATTTCATTGATGAGTTTCATTGATGAGTCAATACAATATATAGGGTATGATTTTACCCCTAAATTCAGCATATTGACACAAAATGCTAACTGCAAATCCACCTTTCGCTGCCTGGAGTCAAGTTGTTTCTGTGAATTGAATTAATTCGGATTGTAAGGGGTGGTTTATACCTTTTCTAATCCATTCGATAGGACATGATTGGATTGAAAACCAAAACATGAAAGTTCTGCACATGTGACATGACGACGGTCAGAACAAGCTGTTGTTGTTAAATAACTAAATATAGTGTCATTCTAAAATTCTCATTCATGTCTGTGAAATGTCGTCCCAGCAGTCCTTTGCTTCAGACTTTCATCCACAGATGTCTTGTTTTGGCCGTGGGAAGGGGCATTTATACCGCTTAATAAATATAAGCAGCACGGCGCAAAGCTTCCCGAAATAGATAAAGATTACGTCTGGGATCACTTTATTTAGAGTTCATGTAAACACTACGTTCAGATTCATCAATCGGAATGACTTCAAACAAAAAATGTCCATGTAAACGTAGCTACTGATAACGTTAACCTTTATTCTAAAAAAGAGACATTCATGTTATTTTCCTGCTTTTACAAAAGATTTGATTCATTTTGGTGTATTGCCAGGCATCCAGATTTCTGAAAAGTCAATATTGGCGTAATCATCTAATTAGGATACTTATGATGCATGCATAATCAGAATATTCAAAGTAGTGATGGTTTATTGATCAGTGTAGTGTTTTTAGTCTGAAGGCAGTGAAGGATGAACTGCCATCCCCACAGATGCTGCTTTAGTTTCAGTCGATCTGTACTAGCAGGCGGTTTATCACTGGATCTGCTGGACCAGGACAAATTATTCATTTATTCTGAGAGGGAAAAAAATCTAAATTTCAGTATTTTCATTCCAATGAGCAAAACTGAATACTTTGGCAATGGCTGCTGAAAACTCAGTGTCAAATGATCCCTCAGAAATCTAATATACTTATTTGGTGCTCAAGAAACTTATTATTATCAATGTTGAAAACAGTTGTGCTACTTAATATTTTTTTTGTGGAAACCATGATACATGTCAGGATTATTTTGAATAGAAATGTCAAAAGAACAGCATCTTTTTTTAAATAGAATTTTTGTAACATTATAAATGTCTTTACTGTCACTTTTGCTCAAATTAATGTGTCCTTTCTGAATAATAGGACCCCCCCCCCCTCAAAAAAGGTTCTTCAAATCTTCTATTTTTACTTGCTGTGTGTAGCACCTACTGCTCTGTAGATTCTACTGAAAAATGTCATCATTAGAAACATGCGACTGAAGTTTATTTTCACAAGCTCCCTGGTGATTTCAGTTAAATTTAAACAGTTTGAGCGACACATGGCAGTATAGATTGTTTTGTGAATCTGTAATTGTAATACAAACAAATGTAATTTACAAAGAAGCTTGAAGGATGGAACAGTTGGTCATAAGACATGAATAAAATACAGCTGAAGCATGATATATATGCTTCTGCTGTACTTTATATATAATTATATATATATATATATATATATATATATATATATATATATATATATATATATATATTAAAAAAGGGGTTGGGTTTGTCATGTTTTTCTCTTTGATTTTCCCATAATATGTGATGTCAGCTCAGGATCCAGTATTTTTGTGCACATTTTGGACAGCATCCAGGATATACACTCACCTAAAGGATTATTAGGAACACCATACTAATACTGTGTTTGACCCCCTTTCGCCTTCAGAACTGCCTTAATTTTACGTGGCATTGATTCAACAAGGTGCTGAAAGCATTCTTTAGAAATGTTGGCCCATATTGATAGGATAGCATCTTGCAGTTGATGGAGATTTGTGGGATGCACATCCAGGGCACGAAGCTCCCGTTCCACCACATCCCAAAGATGCTCTATTGGGTTGAGATCTGGTGACTGTGGGGGCCATTTTAGTACAGTGAACTCATTGTCATGTTCAAGAAACCAATTTGAAATGATTCGAGCTTTGTGACATGGTGCATTATCCTGCTGGAAGTAGCCATCAGAGGATGGGTACATGGTGGCCATAAAGGGATGGACATGGTCAGAAACAATGCTCAGGTAGGCCGTGGCATTTAAACGATGCAAAATTGGCACTAAGGGGCCTAAAGTGTGCCAAGAAAACATCCCCCACACCATTACACCACCACCAGCAGCCTGCACAGTGGTAACAAGGCATGATGGATCCATGTTCTCATTCTGTTTACGCCAAATTCTGACTCTACCATCTGAATGTCTCAACAGAAATCGAGACTCATCAGACCAGGCAACATTTTTCCAGTCTTCAACTGTCCAATTTTGGTGAGCTCTTGCAAATTGTAGCCTCTTTTTCCTATTTGTAGTGGAGATGAGTTGTACCCGGTGGGGTCTTCTGCTGTTGTAGCCCATCCGCCTCAAGGTTGTGCGTGTTGTGGCTTCACAAATGCTTTGCTGCATACCTCGGTTGTAACGAGTGGTTATTTCAGTCAAAGTTGCTCTTCTATCAGCTTGAATCAGTCAGCCCATTCTCCTCTGACCTCTAGCATCAACAAGGCATTTTCGCCCAAAGGACTGCCGCATACTGGATGTTTTTCCCTTTTCACACCATTCTTTGTAAACCCTAGAAATGGTTGTGCGTGAAAATCCCAGTAACTGAGCAGATTGTGAAATACTCAGACCGCCCCGTCTGGCACCAACAACCATGCCACGCTCAAAATTGCTTAAATCACCTTTCTTTCCCATTCTGACATTCAGTTTGGAGTTCAGGAGATTGTCTTGACTAGGACCACACCCCTAAATGCATTGAAGCAACTGCCATGTGATTGGTTGATTAGATAATTGCATTAATGAGAAATTGAACAGGTGTTCCTAATAATCCTTTAGGTGAGTGTAAATTATACATGGACTCCAAATGGAATGGTTTGACCTGGAAATTGATTGTCCTTGTCTATGCTTTGGGAATTAAAAATACTCTTAAATACTCATACTGTATATAGAATGTCGTTTCTCACACAAGTTTGTTTCCTCGTTTCTTCTCGAGGTGCCGAAGTCAGGCGAGCAGGTGGCTCATAATACAGCAGAAGCGTGTGTGGACACGTCAGGCACCACGAAACAAGTGTCCTACAAGACCGAGATCATCGCAGGAGTGCCCATCATCACCACCACACAGGTCACACAGCAGCCGATAACCCCATGACATATATCACATAGTTCATACCAGGGTAAAACTAAAACTATTAAAACATTTATGTTAATTGAAATAAAATCAAAATATTAGTTGAAAAACTTAAACTAAACTAAACTTCCTTGTCAATAAACTGAAAGTTGAAGCACTAAAATTATTAACTGGAAATAAATAAAAGCTAAAACTAAAACCTAAAATAAATTAAACCTAAAAAGCAATAAAAAAACTAATAAATTGACAAAAGCACATACAATTACTAAAAACTAAAATAAAGACAAAAAAGAACACTGGTTTAAATACTAATGTAACCCATTTGAAAAAAAAAATGGATGTGTTAAATGTTGTTCCATTGCATTTGTTTTCAGGAAAAGGGTGAAGATCAGAACGGTGCAGACAGGAGCGGGCTGAGGAAACCTCAAGGTCCGCTGCCGTATTACCTGAGCCGGAGTAACCAGGACCAGTCGGTCATAAAAGCCGGATTTTGTGTCAAGCAGGGAGCTGTGGTAAGTAAGAAGTGCAGAATACATGAAATGATAATGTGCTGTTAAATCTGTAAAGCCTGACATACTGAATAGTTTATTGAAAACTTAGATCAAATTAAAAATTAATACAAAAAAAGTTTGTGTTTTTTGATGAGTAACATGTTTGATACATCAGGCTTTTATGCGCATATGGCATAGGATAATATAGAGATCATACTCAAAGAGGGAAAGAAAAAAAACACCTCAAATTTATTCAGAGGCCCAAACTGAGCACAAATATGCAGTGTGGTGCGGCTGCTGATATTTATATGGCCAAAAAGTATCATGAAATTTGTATAGTTTGTAATGTAAATCTGTGAGATCTTTAAAACAGTATAGACTACTTGCACAACATACATATATCAATATCAGCTTTCACTCTATATCTTCCAAATAGTATGTTTTAGTAAAATAGTAGCTTTTATTGTGGGGGGCAAAATATACAATGCAATGCAATACAATGATGATTGAGAAATAAACATTTCTCAAAAGCCTGATGTATCAATGTATCTGATATATCAATTTAGATAGACATTTTAATGTATGTAAATCAAGTAAACCAGCAGTGTTTATCTTTGAAATAATAATAACAATATAAAAGTTATTCTTACATTAACTTCATAAAAATCAGTAAACATTTCACAGCAAAAAAGACATGTTCTTATCATGTGCAGATTGTGTACAACAGGTTTTTATGCAAAGTTTTAATCATGTTTATAATTTAAAGCCTGTCAAAATGTGTATTCAATACTACACCTTAGGCTTTATAGGGTTAAAGGTGCGTTCCCATTGGCTAAATTTAGGTGAATTGTCACAGGGAAAAAAAGAACCAGGTTGTATTGTCAATGGCATAACAATGTATTGCACAGTTCACACCAAAGTCACTTTTAGACCAAGCAGCTTTCTGGCACATGACCTACTCAAACATAAACAAAATCTATGTGGGGAATGTTTTCGCCCCCACGCAAAAAACTCCTGATTGTGTGGATTCTTATTAAAACGACTGGTTTTAACAGCCTTGCTGCAGTGTCCAAAATTAACATCTGTCATGTCAAATGCATAATCATACTGCCTACATGCCTTTAAGTTCTGCAAACTGAGGTGTCTTTTTGTCTCTCTGTAGATGAAAAACTGGAAGAGGAGATACTTCATGCTGGATGACAATGCACTCAGCTACTTTAAATCAGAAATGGTCAGTCTCTCCCTCTCTTTCTACCTCCTCCTCCATGTCTTCAGAGTCCTGCGTCTTTGAATGCTGCTAGAACCCATTGACCTGTTGGACTCTTTGTTTTCATTGTGTTTTGCACCTGTGCGTCCATGAGCCCGTCTGTAAGCTCCCATCTGATAAGTGAAAGTCCGGCCTGTGTATTGTTCATGCCATCTGATCCTGTGTCCAATCTCATTTCAGCAATGACGCATATTTACATATGTGCCCCCAGAATTAGACCAGTGACTCATGTGGGAGTGAAAGCATGTGTCTTGTGTGTGTGTGTGCGCACGTGCTTGGGTGGTTGTTTGAACTTGCTCACAGTGTTATGAATTCCTCTTGCTGTGTGTTAGCAGTGTGTGTCTAAACATGTCTGCATCAGTGGCGATTGCTTTGGGAATACACAGGAAGCGCAATTCCCTTTAAATTTCATCAGAATTTTGATCAACTTGTAATTATATTTAGAAACAAAAATAAGTTAGTTTTATTTAAAAATATTTGGACGCATTTTATATACAGTTGCAATCGAAATTATTCAACCCCCATTGCAAATCAGGTTTATTGGCCAAATTTACAGAATTTCAGCTGTTTGCAATAAGCAAATCAAACAAACGTAATTGAAATAGCTCAAACACAACAAATGTTTCAAGTGGTTTCCCCTAATTGAACTGAAAATGCAACTTTTAATGACTTCTGCAGTCTCAAAATTATTCAACCCCTTCATGGCAAGCATCTTTAGTACTTAGTAGAACACCTTTTTGCTGTTATGACCTGCTGCAAATGAGGTGTAGAACCAGACACCAGGCCTTGGCCGTTGGTCTTCTATGCACAGCACGCGTTCATGACACTCTATTAGTAAAGTAGTTTACTCGGACTCGCCCAGAAAAAGCACACAAGTTGTGAGAAATCAAGATTTGTAAAAACGCAACATAGTCGAGTCGAGCACAGACCGGCGGGCAAGGTCAGGATTTTCATTAAATAATACATACATTTTCAGTTCGTTTTTCACCAAACCCTATCATACACCCCCAGAACACTTGTAATATATGACACATTGCATTGGATAAATCTGTGATACCTGTGCATCTCTTTTTTTAAAAGCTTGATGCTGGTCACTATTCACTGCCATTATGTGGACGAGCGCGTTTAGGACGTTTTTTTTTTTTTAATTCTCCTTTTGTGGTCTGAAAAAGAAAGAACTGAATACTGCATTAGAACAGTACTTTAGTTACTTAAAGCAATTACTATTGTAATTTTGAAAGGTTAATGCCAATTTCAACCCTGGGTTTTGAAGCCTTGCTTTAAACATTGTGAATTACTTGCCCTACGGGTAAAGTGTTGGGGAGTACGGATGGGTGGACAGTTGTTTGGCATATGGCATACGTTTCCTCTTACAAAAAAGCAACTTCCATGTCTTCTTGCCTGATGAAGGAGCCATCATTGGCTCACTTTTCGGCTGTAGGGGTTTAAAATCCTGGTAAACGGTTATAAATTGTTTTGACTGAGGGGGCAGAACAATGGAGAGTCGCAGGGGCGTCATGCAAGCCAAAATTCTGGGGGGGCACAATCTGAGACGTTGCAATTGTTTTCTGACGGGTGATATGGATCATGTTAGGGGTCAGGGGGTTTCTCCCCCTGCAAATTTTTTAATTCTGGCTGCGAAACATACTATTTCAATGCAGTTTGGGAGGGACAGAAATACCTTAACGGAGCTAGCAGCAACCCTCCTCTATCTGAGGACTAAGTTAAAGTATATGTGTATCTTATATGTGCATTATAAGATGTTTTGAAGGCCAAAAAAACTCCTAAAGTTGAGCTTTGACTGATAGGCTTTTCATTTTTGTCTGTCAGTGAAGAAAGTAAACATAGGGTCAACTGATAGGTTGATTTATGAATCATTTTCTCAGACGAATTTATTTACTGAAAGCTACTAGGAAAGCTAGGTAGCCTAACTAAGTTTATTAAATTCATTCACAGTACACATTCATTATTGATCTTATGCCTAATACAGGGCCGTAGACAGGGCTTTATAATCACAGAGGTCCTAAATTTGAGGTGGGTAGGGGGTTCAAATTTCTTTATTTCTCTGATATGTGCATTTCAAGACGTTTGAAGGCCAAAAAAAGGATAAGAAATAGCTTTAAAAACATGTCAGTGGGCAGATTATTTGTCAATACCTGCTCTCACTTCTTATCCATCACTCTTTCTTTTTCTCTCAGTCTCCTGATCTTGCCTTCCCCTCCTAAAGCTGAGCTTTTTTAATTTACTTAAGGCTACAAATTGTACTATATTAATTCTCAATATGTACACATTCTTTATTAATCTTGTGCCTAACAATGAAAACGTCTTTTCCCCTCACAATCACAGTAAACTAATTATTAGCCTACATTACGAGTCACGTTACATAGGCCTATTTTCAGTTCAAAATGGCGAAATTAGACAAAAGTATATTCGTGTGCCTGATTATTTTTGTCATTCGTTTAACATTTATGAACTAAAAAAACTGTCAAATATGAAATGTTTAGTTTAGCTACTTACATCTCGCACTTGACTGTACACTGAAGCGTCGAGCCTCACTGCTAAAATTCGCGCTCAGCTTCTGTGAACATAAAGCCCGCCTACTTTGATTTGATTGGTCATCTCAAATATTCTGACATTGACGAGCAGTGACAGACCAATGAGGCTCAGATGAACACGCACGCACACACACACACACACACACACACACACACACACTGTCCTCTGTTTCTGACGTGCGCTCTGCTCGGCACCGCTGCGGATTGAAGATGAACAACGCGCTGAATCTGATTATAACAAGACTGAAGTAATAAAAAATTATCAGGGAGGAAAAATCTGAGGGGGCACGTGCCCCCTCACTTTGAATGGGCATGACGCCACTGGAGAGTCGTTCCACTGTTCAAACACACAACTTCCTGTTGAAAGTTTTTGACAAACATTATTTCCCACAGATTTATAGTAGCCTAATTATTTTTATTCCCATGAAGTTAAGAATAGCAGAGACTGATCTTCTGCCTCTGACAGTAAAAACTATATATATATGCCTACATTTTTTATTTATGCTGACAAAATTTCCACATTTTAACATAAACAAACTAATAAGCTTTGTGTGATATATTTGTCAGTCATACATAAATAAAACAGGTGCGATTTCTGTTATAGTTCTAATAAACTGAATGTGTTTTAAATACATAATAAACAGGGTTATATATGTATATCATCATATGTAAATCCAATTTGTTTCGACTCATACATTTTAGCTTGTTCCACAGCTAGCCATATTTTAACCATGTCCATACTTTTTAATTGAATATATTTAATTTTTTTTCACAATGAACATATTTGTGCTGATTCTAAGTAATTTGAATAAATGCATTTTGAAAATATGATTTAAATAAATATTTTTTTGTGTACTTAGTTCTCTGACCCTAAATTGTGATGTTGAGATTCGAGCCATGTTCAAATTTATTGTAAAATACTTCAAATACACATACATATGATCACACATCAGTCCATGTGTAAATAATGTAAAGCAGTGATACTGTACAAATATATCTAACACTCTATAAATAGTATAGCAATATCTGTACTACCTGATACGTTGTGTCAGCAAGAAATGTTAAAAGGTTTCATATTTTATCCAAAATACAATTATTGACCTATGTTCAAATGTAAAACAGTCAGAAATCATACAGAATTAATTAAATTAAATCAAATCAAATCAAACTGAACCAAACCGTGACCAGATTTCAGATTTCCGTCATAAATAAAGGCTAATGGACTGCGATATGTGGTGATGAAATACTATAATTTTAAAACAACATTAACTGTGACATCTTGGGTGACAACATTAACTGTGACATCTTGGGTGACAAGAGCTTGTTACAGGAAGCTACTGATTCAGTGTGTGTGTGTGTGTGTGTGTGTGTGTGTGTGTGTGTGTGTGTGTGTGTGTGTGTGTGTGTGTGTGTGTGTGTGTGTGTGTGTGTGTGTGTGTGTGTGTGTGTGTGTGTGTGTGTGTGTGTGTGTGTGTGTGTGTGGTTTATGAGTGCACAAATGTGTATAATGACATGGTTTTACAACGTAAACATGGTTTATGAGGACACTTCCTGTGTCCTCGTAAACCAAATACTAAACAGTGTTGTTGTTTTTTTTTGTTTTGTTTTTTACTAAAAAAATGCAGAACGTTTTCTGTGATGGGTAGGTTTAGGGGTTAGTGTTGGCGGAGAGAAGATACAGTTTGTACTGTATAAAAACCATTACGCCTATGGAGAGTCCCCGTAAACCACATATTCAAGTGTGGGTGTGTGTGTGTGAGGAGTGCAGGCATATTGTAGGCAGGAATGAGGCTTGGTCAAAGGCTAAATCATACACTAGATGTCAATAAAGTCTATTTCAGGGCTGATAATCACAGGCCTGCGCTCGCTGTGTGATTTCATCCTGCTCGGGCCTGTACTTCCTCTCTGCACACACTCAGCGCAGCTGGAATGTTTGCTCAGTGCTTGTACAGTCGTTCACATGAACTAAAGACAATATTAATTAGCTGAATGAAACTCTGTTTTTAGGACCGAGAACCATTACGAGTTGTTCCTCTGAAAGAAGTAAATAAGGTGCAGGAGTGTAAACAAAGGTCAGTACTGCTTCATTTGTGCTTTTGTTTTGTTTTGATTTTTGTAAAATTGTTGCCAAATATGCTTCTGCTATACCCCGTCTTTCATTTGCTCAACAAACAGGAAGTCCCTCCCCATACTCACGCCATTGGTTTAGCCAGAGGTTGACGAACTGTTTTAACAAATGTCACGCAATGCTCAATTAGTGTCTCGATGGCTTACCTAGGCCCAGTTTACACCTAGTATCAAGATGCATTTTCGTCAATCCGATCACAATTGAACACCCACATGCACAGAACCAAGCACAACCTACATTTTTTTATTTTTTGATAATTCATTACACTCGGATGCACATCACAATACGGAACATACATGTTTAATGCGTCTGCAAAATTATCTGGATAGCATTGCACTCTATTTTAAAACCATCTTATTTGAGTGGAAACATCTGCTGAACATCTCAAAAGAGCAGATTCACTTAGATTCTACATCATAAATATGCAATAATCTGAAGAATTACTTTTTTTGGGAAACATTCGTGACATTAGCAATAACTTGTAGATGAGAATTTTTAAAATGGCATCTTCCGGATGAAATCACACATTGAATAAATGGAATGTGTTATATTTTTTATTTATCTCCAGGCATCCAAGTTTATCTTAATGTTACCATGTGACAAATTTCACAATGTCTAAAAGTTCCACAGTTTGGGACTTGGGCAGATCCTTCATAATAGTGCACAAGCAAACATTAATAAACAATAACAGCTTTCTCATCATGCATCTGTACTACTGTAATGTTTCAACGGTTGTAATACAGTATACAGTAATTATGTTGTGTCTGATATTGATTCATGTTTTTAGTGACTTGATGATGAGGGACAATCTTTTTGAACTGGTTACTACCTCAAGAACGTTCTACATTCAGGTAGGAATGTCAAACTCATGTTAATTTTATGTAATTTATGCATTGTAATTTATGGATATTTGATGGGGAACTAAATGCATATTACAATGGCACAATTTCAGTGGCAGGTAAAAAAAGCAGAGAGAAGAAAATAGCATTTTTCAAGAATAAAGTAAAGTTTTGAGAATAAAGTCATAACATTACGAAATAAAAGATTTCCATTACACGAGAGTAGATGTTAAAACTTCATGCTGATTTGTACTCGGCTTTCGCCAAGATAAGCAAAACTAAGACGTAGCTTTACAGTAAACTATGCTTCTCCATCCATTTACGCTTCTTTCCATAAGGTGGTGTGACTCCCCTTCTGTCCGGCGTTAATGGCAGCAGTGTACTTGGCGCGTCAGCGCACGCGACGGCTGCAACTACAGGACCAGCACGACAACCGTCTGGATTGAACCGAGTAGGGGACATCTCTAGGGTCTTCAAGTGGGCACCTTCCGTCCTCAGTGTTTCGTCGACTAGCCCACGACACCTCAAGAGGGCTCGACAGTGACTCTGGCGTCCCAGAGTCACCCCCCTCCGTCCCCCACTCAACTCAGCCCAGCTAACTGACCTCTACATCCCTCCTGCTGCTGAGACCTAACCACAATCTCACAATCTCTCCGCAACCCGACCATACGCGCCAACCCGTTTGACTAAGGCTGTCGAGCCCCACTGGTGCGTTAATATGCAGTTTCAGTGGACAACGGTTCCGTATGGCATACCACCTACCGCAAAACACAATATCTGCCCAACCACCCGTCATTCACGCAATATCCACAGGAACGTATACAAACAAACCAATAGACTCTTCAAGTTTTCAAGAATTCTACGAAACCGTAGCGTGGCGGCCTGTACACAGCCAGCTAGAATCTTTCCGTCTCAACCACAGCCAGTTGCTGCTCCTTTCTGCTGCTTCAGATAAGTTCTTTACTGTGCGATGCAACTCTTGGCCGCTGAATCCGATGTCTTGAGGAACCAGGTTGTAGAGTGTGCCACAAAACCTCGACAACCTTCCACTGGATAAACCTGGACTCTCCATCCTCGCTGTTCTGCTTCAGTGGCCAGATGAGCATACCGCAGTTTCTTCCTCTCATATGCCTCATCTACCGCATCCTCCCAGGGCACTGTTAACTCTATCAGTTGAACAATGCGTGCTGATCCAGACCACAAAACAATATCTGGTCGTAGGTTAGTGGTGGCAATCTCAGGTGGAAAAATAAGCCGTTGGTCAAGATCAGCCAGCATCTTCCAGTCCCTAGCAGCTTCCAGTTGTCCTGGGCGAGAATTGGTGTTAACACCTTTTCTTGGTGGTTGCTCGCCTGGGCGGAGGAATATAGTCTTCTGCGTGTAATGTTTTGCTAGAACAGGTGGCAACTTATTGGTCATGTTACGCTTGCCTTCTAATGCTAAAGCCAAACATCGCAGTACTTGGTCATGGCGCCAAGTAAACCGACCTTGGCTAAGAGCCACCTTACATCCTGTCAAAATGTGCCTTAATGTGGCAGGTGATGAACACAAAGGACAAGAGGGATCCTCTCCTACCCAGAGGTTTAGGTTCTGCGGTGATGGGAGAACATCATATGTTGACCTAATAAGGAAACTGATCCTACTCTCTTCCATTGACCAAAGGTCTTGCCAGCCCATCTTACGTTGTTCCACACTCTCCCATCTCATCCACTCTCCCTGCTTGGCCTGGGAAATGGCCTTTATACACCTCATCCTCTCCTCCTGCTGTCGCACCTCGTTGACTACCAGCTTCCTCCTTTGAGCTGGGCCTGCCTTGTGCCGTTTAGGAGGAGCTAAACTGAGCCCAAAACCCCCTCTTCCATGCTGTACCTGTCCCACGATATCCCTAATTTGAAGGGCAGCCTTTGCCTCTACTACAGATTTCTTTGCTGACCACTTTCTACCAGTTTTTAACACAGGGGCTGCCTCCCTTACACATTTGTCGCGTGACTCTACTAAGGTCATTTCCAGTCTGACCTTGGCACACTTGAACTCCTCGGTTAAAGCAGAGACTGGCATCTGCCATATTCCTTTACTATAAAGTCCTACTCTGCTGAGGCAGCGTGGAACTCCCAACCATTTCCTGATGTATGAACTTATCAACGATTCCAGCTTATCCACTGTTGTCAAAGAAACGTCGTACACGGTCAGTGGTCACAGCAACCTCGGCAGTAGACCAAACTGAAAGCACCAGAGTTTTAGTTTACCAGGTAGAGCACAGCTGTTTATGCTCTTCAACCCTTCCACTGCTTGTCGTCTAACTTCTCCCACCCGAACTGTGTCCTTTAGATCCCCATCGTACCATCTCCCAAGACTCTTCACTGGCTTCTCAGAAACTGTTGGTATTGCCTCACCATTAATGAAGAATGTTTTATCTACTACCTTTCCTTTAACTATCGAGATGCTCCTTGATTTAGAGGGCTTAAATTTCATTCGTGCCCATTCAATATTATCTGTTAACTTCCCTAATAGCCGATTAGTGCAGGCTACTGTTGTAGTCATGGTTGTCATGTCATCCATGTATGCTCTGATTGGTGGTAGTCGCATCCCAGAAGCCAAGCGCTCTCCTCCTACTACCCATCTTGATGCCCTCATGATTACTTCCATCGCCATGGTAAAAGCCAGTGGAGAAATGGTGCATCCTGCCATTATTCCAACCTCTAGGCATTGCCATGCAGTGCTGAATTTTGGAGTTGAGAAACTGAATTGCAAATCTCCAAAATAGGCTTTCACTAAATTTGTTATTGACATTGGTACTCTGAAAAAATCAAATGCTGCCCAAAGAAGCTCATGTGGCACTGAACCATATGCATTAGCCAAATCCAGGAATGTCACATGGAGCTCCTTCCTCTCCTTTTTAGCTGACTGAATTCGTTGCCAGATAACATTGATGTGTTCTAAGCATCCTGAGAACCCTGGAATGCCCGCTTTTTGAACTGAGGTGTCAATGAAGCCATTCTTTAACAGGTAGGTGGACAATCTCTGGGCAATAATGCTGAAGAAAATCTTACCCTCAACGTTTAATAGTGAAATAGGACGAAACTGACTGATGCTTGTAGCATCTTTTTCTTTAGGTATAAAGACTCCACCTGCTCTGCGCCATGCTCTAGGTACAACCTGTTTTTCCCATGCCACTTTTATCAATTTCCACAGAATTCGCAGAACTCCTGAAGCACTCTTGTACACTCTGTACGGAACTCCATTAGGCCCTGGAGATGATGAAGCCCTTGCCTTTCTCACAGCCTGCTTTACCTCTTTCCACTTAGGTGCACAGACCTCCATTTGGTATTCTGGTGGGTTGATAGGTGGTATGTCTGATGGAATTGACATAGGCTCATGCCTTTTTGCATCTGTATGCGTGTCCTCCAAATATCTCTCTAGCTCAATCCTAGATGTTTTTAAAGTGCCATTCTTCTCACTGGTGAATAACTTCTTTACGAATTTGAATGGGTCTTTAACTCTCTGGGGTCGGCGGTCTCGCCGGCGATACCAGCTCACTTTTTTCCTTATCAGTGCAAAAGAGACTCAAATTACTCTGTTAATTTTGATCTTACATATAAGTGTTGTACATCATTCGATCCTGTTAAGTTTGTATTTTTTTTGTGGAACCTCATAATAAAAACAAAGTGTTGTGCTTTTCGCCTAATAAAGAAAAATAAACATGATGCGCGTTCTGCGTTCTCTCTGTCAGTGAAGTCCATTCTGAAACGCGTCCGAAAAATCAACTGTAACTCTGCAAATACTCAGTCAAACAGGTACACAGGCACACAGGCATGAAGCCTGAATTGTCTTCTTTTAAATGAAGTAATTTATATAAAAAAATGTTTTTCTCATTTTATGTAATCTGTACGAAAAGAGAGAGATGATAGTCGTTCTCGTCTCAGCTCATTAAAGTTAATTTGACCACGCCCACGGAGCGCGCGCTCTATTCAAACACAAATGCTCTGAGGCGATCCACGCCCACATCAGCTGGATAACCACCGAAAGAGACTCAGATTTACGACGCTGTGAGGAATAATAGTACTATCTTAATAATAATCCTGGAAAAAATTACCTCAGAAGTAGGCTACAGGTAGTTTCATTTGGAGGAGCAACGGATCCAGCCGAGGAAATAGGTACATTCTTTATTTTCAAGTGCTTTGTGCTAATCGCGATATGGAATAGTGTCTGTAAACAAAAAGACTGTTTGAATCGCGTTTTTGTGTGTGAATGAATGAACAGCTTTTACCTAACTATATTCCAATACTGAGATGAGTAAAAATCGACTGAAATATGTTGAAATAAAATATTTTTGTATAAGCAACGTATTAAACTGCAAATTAACATTTATATGTCCTAATCATAAAAACGATATGTTACATATGAAAGACAAGATGTCGTTTTTACTGTAAAATACTGCCACATCAAATAAGCTTGTTTGCTAAGATGTTATTATAGTATTTGTTCGATTGTAAGCTATATTCAAACTAATTAATCCGCAACTGTGAAATATGTATGATAAAATGTATACTTTAGTATATAATACAAAGAAAGATTACATTTGAAATATAGTTACATTTTAATTGTTGTTGTAATTGTAACCTTTTTATTAAAATAGCAAAAATATATGTAGGCTACATATAAATAAATCTTAGGTAAATCTTAAAAGCTCAATATAAGCCTCCTCTTTAAATTATTTGTATTGTGTTTTATTAGTGACACATTTGGGATACATTCCCAAACTTTCTGTAAAAACAGTATGATAATTAACTGCACAATTACTATAAATTTTTACATTTGATATTATACAATTTGCAAGCACAATTTGAAAAATAAATAAATAATTGGAACTGTGAACCAATTTTGTATTATATAGGCATATATATATATATATATATATATATATTGTCATTGCATTGCATTCTTGTGGCTCAGTGACACACCTGAATGAAAGGGTCATTAGTATGCAGCCCCATTATGCGCTCATTATGCGG